ACCTGCATGTGCAAGCACCACATTGTCTCACTAGTGTAAAACCTGAAAGAGTCAATTTAAACTCGGAGGTATGATAGACATTGTGAAATGATAGGAAAATGCTCAAGGGTAAAGGGCAACTGGGATGTGGGAAAACAAAAGGGAAAGAAGGAGAAATTTTGTATGTATGTATATACATGATAGTTAACATAGTTAATCTACTGTCTTCTATTTCTTTGCTGAAAGAAACTGTCAATGAGTCCTTGATTGAGCAATATTGCATGTCTCTATCTGTTATCATGAGAAACCGCTTTGAAGATATCAATATGTAATACAACAAGCATTGTTAATTTCCTACCACTTTGTTTGTAACTCTGTATTGTCTGTACTGCTCTTTTGCTATTTTGTAAAAGGTTGTCTGTCTGTTAATGCTTTCCTCCTTTTATTTTTAAAATAAAAAGAAAGCTCTGTGTTTTATCCATTCATGCACGTGACATGTTCTTAAAAGTGTTAACTGATGCCTGGAGAGCAAGGACTTTGATTTGTCTACCACATAATACACGACCGTGAGTTCTTCTAGACCAATCCTCCCTCTAGTTCATGGGGCGTAGCTGGACTTGCAAATGCCGTTACACTGACTGAAGTGCGGCCCTGAGCGGCAGTCACTGACAGATTTCCCTGCTCTTCTCCACTGTCCCTAAGAGTCAGACATGCTGAGAAGGGTTAATAGTGCAGGCTGTCATGTCAACTGCTAACTCCTCAGGAATTCTTGTTGGCGAAGCCGCAGCATATATCCAGACTCTGACAATGTCTTATCGCTTCTGTAGCCCTCTTCCAGGACACCACCTCCTCTTACTTGTTGCTGTAGTGTCTTGGTTGTTGCCTTGCTTCTATGTTACTTTCTGCCTTCACCCTCAAAACACTGACAAGAGCAATCCTTTAAACACACAGGTGAGAAGATGTTGCTCCTCATCTTCAACCTTGCAACAGTAGCCCTCTTCTCTTTAAATGAAAGGGCCCATGTCACTGTGCTCTTCACTGCCCTTCCGGCCTGTTTCCCTATCACCCCTCTGACTGTTACCCTAGGAACTCCCTTCTCTTGCCTTCCCCTCTCTCTTCCCCTGTGCCACCATCCTCTGCACTCTTGACACCTCAGAGCTGTTTCTCCCATCTGGAAGATTCTTCCCTTAGGTACTTCTAGGTCTACATCTTCGCTTCTTTGAAGTCTTTATTCATGTCTCATCTGGTATGACCTCAACAAAGTTGCACGTTATCTCCTTATTTTATCCAATCTCCCCACCAGGCACTCTTAGTCCTTTAACCTGCTCTTCCCTGCCCTCCCCTCATAGCACTTACCTGTTAGTTTTCTATCTCTCCCTTTCTCTTCCACTAAAATATGAGCTTTAGAAAGGCAGGGATTTGAGCTGTTTTGTTCAATGGCATATCTTCAAGGTCTAGCACATTATAGATGTCCAACAGATATTTGCTTAATGAATAAATTAATCTATTGCTATCTACAACAATGAAAGAAAGTGCTTTGGGTCACTATCCTGGATAGTACCTTTCACTAAAAAGTGTTCTATTTGAGAGGGCACCAAGAAATAATTCCCTCCTGACTGGTCTAGGGCTAAACCAATTGATAAATCCAAGTTTCTGCAAAAAGAAAATGTCAGTTTAATATTGAAAGAGTCAGAGGAAAGAAGGAACATTTTTATGTCTGGAGGCAATGAAGTGAGCTGGCACTGAACTCTCAAATTATACACCTGTACCTACAAAGCAGCATGGGACTGTGGCAGGTTTGTTCCAGAAGAAGAGGGCTGAGTACTCAGAATGTCTGCACCACAGAAAAAAGAAAAAGAAATGAGCTGCAAGATCCATGTAGCCTCACATGCAGGCAGTCATGGAAAATGTGTTTTCCTCCTTGTGGGTGGGTGGGAGGTTAAGCAATCCAGGTGGGGATGCAGGAAGCTAAGATGAGAGCGTAGGGATGAACTGTTAGTGCAACAGTAATCAATATCCTTCAGTAGAAGAAAACATTAGAAGTGGGAAAGAAGTGCTGTCTCCTAAGAGCATCTATATTCTTCCTCTTTTGAAATAACTCCTTTCTGTTTGAAAGCAATAAATCTTAGATACCTGCAGTTGTTACTTTTACTGCCAAAAATCCTATAGAGATGAAAAGTCAGTCCTGGTTGGATTGAATGAATTGAAATAGAGATGCTTCAATGGCTCCTTGCCTCTAATAATATTGTAAACATCTTTAAGTCACAGACCATTCTTTGAGTTTTTTCCAAGCTAACAGGAGGGACATAATAAAGAAAGCATACACATATCACATATACATGTGGATGTTTATTATATATAGAGCACTACTTGTAGAATAGTACACAAACTAGAATACTTGTCCTTACAGAATCTATCAGGAAAGAGGTATAAAGAAATGTGGGGTGAAAACAGAGCATCAGTAACACAGACACATCTGCATATTGAGGTTAAAGTATGTGGACCACGTATTCACATCTTCATTCAGTCAGTGTTGACAGACTTCCCTTTATGTCACACACACGGCATCAAGTGTGGAGAATATAAAGAGAAGACATGGCTCTGAGCTCAGAAACAGAGTTATAGAAGTGAGCAACTGCAATGCAGTATAGCATGTGCTGTGACTTGGACAGTACACGGAGCTGTGTTGACTCAGAGAAAGAAAACACAGAGGTGAGCTTAAGCAACGGAATGGAAACAGATGAAGAAAATGGAAAGCAGATTGAAAGATAGATCTGAGGTGCTCATTTGGGATATATCAGAGTGAGTGATGGAGAAGAAAATGTGGAACTAGAGAGCAAGATATCGTTTACATATGCTTAGATACTGTAAAAGGAGGAGGAATTAGGCAGAATGGGGAAAAGATAAGTGCTCAGGTTTTTCTAAAGTGTCTGGAATTCCTGAGATGTAAAAATCCCAATGCTTTTTAATTAGTAAAACTAAAACAAATCACATAAACACAAGATTGACACTGCAGATTAATAAGGAAAAAACAAAATTTGAAAAGACAAGTAGAGTGGGAAAATAGCTTATTCAAAAGGTCAGCAGCTGAAGTACAGGTAATAGCAGAGTTCTCATTAGCAATGAGAAATGCTAGAAAACATAGACTCTTACCTTTCTACAAATGTGGAGAAACGACTGCCAGGCTGGCATTCTACTCCCATCAAAGTTGACATTTAAAAGTGAAAAGGAAACAGGCTGCTTCACATATAAGTGGACTAAGTGCTTATTACCCACGGACATTTGAAGAACATCTTGGCAAGGATGAGATTCTACCCAGAAGCAAAGAACAAGTGCAAAAAATCAATGGTAATTTAAGACGTAGAGACCAGATGGAGGCCCAAGGTGGATGGAGGCCCTGGGAGAAGGGAGAAGTGGACATAGACAGAGTGGGGAGGAGGAGTGGGTAAGCAGAGACCTGTGACAGCTGCTGGCTTCGTTCTCTACCAGGACGCATTTCCTGAAAATTGAGATAATGATTGAAGGGCCTTAGCAAAGTGGTGCATATATAGGTTGTCGCTTTAGGAAGTTCTCCTGGCAGAGGGTGGAGGATGTATCAGAAGGGAACATGAATGTTGCCACTGAGACTAGTTGGAAGTTGTGGAATATAATTTAGATGAGAAATGATTAGGGCCCGGATAAAGATAAAGCAAATGGAGATTACTGATAGAACAGGGTACGGGGAGTTAAGAAATAGAGAACTCGCAACTCCCTGATTGGTACACAGCAGTGATAACTAAATGCCAAGTGAACGAATGAATCAGTGCATGACAGAATGGATAAACAATGGATGCCTTTAAGCTGACTCCAGGATTTAGTAACTCTGAGGTAAGCATATTTTCAAGTTAGGTATGGCAGACCTCTAGTGGCCAGAAAGAAAATGCAGCAATTTAATGACCAAGAAGGAATTTGAGTTTTGTAACTCTGTATTGTCTGTATTGTGCTTGTGATATGTTGTAAAATGTTGTATGTCTGTTAATGTTTCCCTCCTTTTATCCTTAAAATAAAAAAAAAACAAAAAAAAACATTATTTGAGCAAATGTACTTGCAAAAGAATAATCACATAAAAGTATTGCTTTACAAAGATCCTATCTAAGTAGGTCTTTACTGTAGTTTCTTATTGATAAGACTGAATGGCATATATTTTATTAGCTCATTTTTATAATTAACTGCTTGGGGTAAATTACTTATGCAAATAAATCCAGTAATCTTTTAATTATGATTAAAATTTTTAAAAGTACCTGCAGGAGTTGAATAATTATTCATAGAAGTACTCACTCATTTTCAAATTGAGAAAAAGAGAAAGACGCTATTATGATCAAATAAGGCCTGGATTGCAGAAGTCTCAAATATGAACATGGTAGATTTAAAAATGCTAACAGCAAGAGACATGACAACATTAAGTAAAAGTTTAAAACCATGAAAAGGGGCTGGGGATACAGCTCAGTGGCACAGGGCCTGCTTTCCAAGCATGAGGTTGAGTTTAATTCCTAGTATCAAAAAAATAAAAATAAAATAAAACTATAAAAAGAAGAGTCAAAGTGATTTCAATTCTTAAAACTTAATAATACTATCCTAATGTCCAATTACTTAAAATAAAATCAAGGAAGAATGATTTGTTGTTACAAACAGTGATTTTGTTATAAACTCAAGTATTTCCTAGGGAATATCAAGTTGAGCTTTTCCTTAAGTGAGTCACAATTAAACAAAACATTTAGCATCTATTTCAACT